TTTTTTTTTATGTACAGTGCCCTGAGACAACGTATGTTGTGACTTGGCGCTATATAAATAAACTTGAACTTGAAGTATATAAAGTGGAACTGCAATACTTCGGTCTGAACTTCTTATTGCAACTTTACAAGCCTCTCTTTCACCCCTTTTCTGAGGTGTGTTTCAGATCAACCCGTTTTGATGCTGTCTCTTTAAATCCAGATGAGGTGCTCCACCCCAGCTTCCAGAGCATTCCAATGTACATCATATTGCCAAACGTATTTGATCACCCATCCAAATGACTGTGCATCAGTGCATAAAGCAAGGTCCGTAAAGACATGGATGTCAGAGTCTGGTGTGGATGAACTTGACTGGCCTGCACAGAGTCCTGACCTCAAACTGATAGAACACCTTTGGGATGAATTATGCTACGTTCACACCGAACACGTTTTGAGCGGCCAAAAAGCACAAAACGTTGGACGCGCTATTTTCAGACCGAAGAACGCACTAGTGTTCAGACCAGAACAAGCAGCAGCAGCAGCGAGGTGTGAGAGGAGCGTGTCCTCGGTGGGTGAATAAAGATAAAATAAAAGAAAATGGCTTTGATTTATTTACTAAAAAGCAAGCGAACGTTGCGCACAGCAGATAATTAACTCGCCAGATGATTTAGAGGCGATTTGTTCGGTTAGTTTTGTCACTCCAGAAGCTGCCAGCTGATGGACTTTTTAAATTTTTTTTTTTATCCTGAGTAGCCGATCCACATCAGTGCTGATATATCCTGCCAGAAAATCCAACTGCACACGGTCGATTTCAGGTAAAGATCTCCAGTCCGTCTGTTTCGGTTTTCARTGGGAGACGCGTCGAGCGGCGAAAAGTTCAGATATTTGAACTCTGGCGGCGGCTCGGGCGGCGGCGACTTCCGCAGYACCGCATGCACGGAAAACGCTCTGCGCCCCTTCCGCCTTCCTTGCGCGCCGCCCAAAACGTATGTGACGCGACGCACGACCCCTAGAGGCGCGTCCACCATAGACTTTGCATGTAAATCGGCCGCTCCTGCCGCTCAAAACGCATTCGGTGTGAACGTACCATTAGAGTGGAGACTGAGAGCCAGGCCTTCTGTCCAACATCATATGACCTGACAAATGTGCTTCTGGAAGAATGGTCAAAACCCCCAATAAACACACTCCTAAACTTAGAGCCTTCCCAGAAGAGCTGAAGCTGTTCTAGCTGCAAAGTGGACCAACGTCATATTGAACCCTATGGATTAGGAATGGGATGTCACTTAAGCTCATTTGTGAGTCAAGGCAGGTAAGCCAATACTTTTGGCAATATAGTGTAGTTTAGGAGTGGTTTGACTATATAGCAGAGAAGATATTTTCCCTAATAAATTAAAAGATGTCAACAACGAAAGATTGTCCACCCAGCCTTAGAGTCTGACCCAGAGCGACAGGAGAATAAAGACAGTGAAATTGTAGTTGGTGAGTTTAGACCTTCTTTGGCAGGTCTGTCACAAATAATTTGATATAATAGTTTAGAAAAAAGTAATAGAAAACAGAAAAAACTGAGTAGGTTGAAAAACATGACCTAATCAGAATATAAAGATATCTATGCAGCACCAGGAGAAACTAAATTAAACTTTTCTGCACTAACTGAGACTCCAAGTACACAAAAAATGCATTTAACGGTTACAGTGGATTCTGCATGATATGTACCCTGTAAACAACAGAAAAATGGCTAGAACTTGCTAATAGCTGAGAGTCGCAGAGATTCTCAACCTATGGGCCGCGGCCTGCCAGCTTGAGGGCCTCAAAAGAACAACAGCTTTTAACTTTGGGTCGCAGAGGGCCTCGGGACCACATTGATTTTGAATAAGGTGCAATACACTTTCTCACCACTAGTAGCGGTAGTGCACCACTCAGATGTTTAACAACTTCTTTAATGTGTAGACGAAGAACCTTAGAAACCTGCCGAGAATGGAAACTTATTTTAAATGAAAAGTAGAAGCAACAATGAAAGTAACTCGTCAAAAAACACCAAAGTTTGTCACTAATATGAAGAGCAGCTTCTGTTTTTACCATGTAATATTTTAAAAGTTCAAAACATTATCAAATACAGTTGCAGATACAACTATATATTTTCATTTGTACTTTATTACATTTATATTTACAGGTTTTTATTATTTGAAACATTTACATTAAACATTTTTAATTTCTTTTTTATTTTCAGTCAACAGACCACTCTGGCTTATCAACACCTTTGTATTTGTTCAAATAATTGTTATGGAAAGGTTCCAATATAAAAATGTTTGTCATAATCATGTCTTGTGATTATTTGACAGGAGTTTAACTTTTAAACTGTAAGTGTATTTAATTTAGTTATGATAGTTTTGATAGTTTAGTTATGATGTAAATACAATACCAAGATTTATAATAAATTTATATAATTATCATTTTGATCCAAGTCTGACTGGGCCTTGTTTTACTTTATGTTCAACAAATTGGGCCCCGAGGTCAAAAAGGTTAAGAACCCCTGTTCTAAGGAACTAACTGACTGTATAAGATGTCACTTCTGTCTGCCTGTCAGCAACATATCTGGACAGATTTTAAAGAAACTTCCAAAAAGCAATCCTTGAATGTAAACCAGTTATCTTTTAGAGTCAGCCCAGTTCAGGATGGACACCACAGCTAATCAACACTAGTCAACAGAAAAATGTCTGTTTCACATATTGAGCTTAATTTGATGTGGTCGTAGCAGAATCCTCAGCACCAACTTCCAG